GAAAATCAATATTAAAAAATAGGGAAATTTTATAAATGTTAATTGCCCTCTTAAAATCTTTAAATAAATTAACTTGTTTAGACATTCACTAACCCTATGTAAATATTATGACTATATCTTCTTACAGGTGAGAAAATCTGATGCAAAAGGGATGATATTCTTTCCCAAGTACATATAACTGTAAATGTCAGAGCTGGAATTCTAACACAGGCCATCCATCTCCAGACACTACTGTCTCACTCACCACTTTTTACTGTCTCATAATAAATAGGAGTACACAGAACTCTAAAAATTTGGACAAGAAAGACAGCATAAGCAAAGCTGAAATATGCAACACTTATAATACATTTAAGAAAAGTAATTAGAATCCTAAATGTAACAACTTCTCTAAATCAACCAACCATGGAAGGATAACCCAATGTGAACAAAGGGGACAACAATTTGAAAAGGCAATTAATGGAAGAGAAAATGAATCATTAAACAAACCATATTGTGTAGAGTTTCACTGACAATCAGAGAAATGTAGATTTAAAAGTAATTTTGTACCATTTCATAGACTAGAAAGTAAAAATTCTAATGAAAAATATCAAGAAATAAAGATATTTTTAAAATGGAATTTGGATGGTATGTCACTTGTCAATATGTATAGTAACAAAAAATGTACATACTTTTCAATAAATAGTTTGCATTTCTAAGTGTCAACCATACAGAAAAAAATACCTGCCTTTATGCATTAAAAAGAAAATTAAAAACAAGAGTGTTGATCACTGCTTTTATGTAAAAACAAGAAGAAAAAAATGTGTTCATATATTATATACTGCAAATGAATATTCAGCTATTAGAAGTGATTAGCTACATCTACATTTAATAACAATGAAAAATGTTCAAATATAACATGGAGGGTAGGAAACACATCTTATACAAGATGATCCTTATGAAAACCTTCACTCTCTTTATTTCTCCTAAACAAAAAAATTACTCAATATTGTATATATTGATATTGATGTATGTAGAAAGGATGTAAAATGTGGCTTTATTTTTTTAGAGGATGATCTATTCAGTGATTGTCCATATAGTCAAAAGCCAAGGAAATGAAAGGTTAACAGTTAACTTTCCTCAAGGGCTAAAGAGAAATGTTATGAGACACTTGTTAAAGGTGACAAGTGGTCTTGAGTGCAGCATCCCTAAACCAAAGGGGCCTGAGGTTCTTACAGGGAGAACAAAGGGAATACATAGGGGTTGTGGGGAAGTCAAAAGGTTGGTAGGGGTCTCATGGATCCACGGGTATGAGGAAAATTTCAGAAGAGGTAATTGGGATATTCTGAAAGGGTTTAGAAATATACTTTTTTGTGGATTGGCAGTGTTGTGTTTTCTCCCTGACAGACTCAGCAGGGGGCTGAGACACTTTCAGGGACCCAAGTTAGTGCAGGTAGAGGGTAGCTCAAGTGTGGTTCAGGCTCAGTAAGGTGATTCAATGCAGGGGTTTACGTTTCACAATGGTGTCAGCCATACAGAACAAAATTCCTGCCTTTATGCATTAAAAAGAAAATAAAAACAAGAATGTTGATTACTGCTTTTATGTAAAAACAAGAAGAAAAAATGTGTTCATGAATGTGGAATTTTTAAGATATAACTTAAATTTATAGAAGGAAAGCAGGTAAAACTATGAATGCTGATGTGGTGTAATGCTGAGAGCTTGTGGGAAGGGGAGACAGGTGGGTGCTTCTCTTTCAGGACAAGCAGTCAATGGACAAAGTATAAATCATGTAAAGTGAAAAATGGGAGTAAAAGCATGTGTTCTGAGCCAGAGATAAAGGAGTAAAATGGTAAATGTTAAGTGAGTTAAAAGCACTATTGAAACAAAGAGGAAAAAAATACAGAAAACTATTGATTGCCAGCACAGACTTTTCTCTCTTACTCTCTCTCTTTCAACCTCCATATAGATATGTTCATACTACTTTGATAAAGTTGTTTTAAACTATTCCCAACACAAACAAATGATAAATGTTTGAGTTAATACCAATTATCTTAATCTCATTGTCATTGTACTTAATGTCACATTGTACCCCATAATATGTACAATTATTATGTATCAATATGAAAAATGTAAGATGTTAAAGGAATCTGCAACATTTAAAAACTACTGCATTTTTTAGAAAAGGTTTTGCTTTAGAAAATACAGCCTTTTAATAAAATATGTTATTTACATTACTATGCAATGAGCTTATTAATATTTTAAACCAATTCATATTTTAAAATATTTTAATGAACATTATCTTTAAAAAGGAATAATAAAGTTAATATGATTTGCCTAAATTATTCTCTTTTATCCATTAGGATTATAACAGAGCTTCATAAGAGTTAACATTTTGGTTGGGAAGGCACTTTTTTCAATCTGTGCCCATGTAATATTAGAATTTGATAAATGGGAAAGAAAGAAGGTACCTCAATAAAGGAATATATTCATATGAATATTAAGATCCACTCTGATGAAAGAATAATGCTTTTATCTCTTCACAAATAGGTTTGAGAAAATAATTCCAGTGTTTGATTAAGACACAGTAAAGTGTGGAAAGTGGGACAAGAAAGGGTCTTGGTTATTTCAAAAAGATCCATATAATGTGGCCTATGAACCACTCAGTGCAAAGCAATATAGGCTCCTCTCTGCCCACAGTGGTGCAAAGAAGAACATGATTATGAAAACTGCTTTTAAGAGAACTTTCCCTAATATATTAGTTTTCTTTGTTCCATTTCCCTCCTTGTATCCACCCATCGAACTATTTTGTTCCCTTTCTTCTCTGAACTTCCTTAGCCGTCATCACCATCTTCCTTCCTAGGCTTAATTATGTCAGCCTTCCCTGTCATACAAGCCTCACCTACCTCCCCCTCCCTTTGTTCATTAAAAATAACAACTCGCAATCCAGTTAGAGTTACCTTATTTAGCACCTAACACATTTTAGACTTTGTGTTCAGCACATCACATGTGGCATTTTACTCTCCAAGACAACTGTCAAGGCAACTTTCACGACAACCATTGTGGCATAATTATTTCAATCCCAGGCTCTCTTTCTTAAGAAAATCATTTTTTAAAAATTTGATACATATTTACCTTAAATAATTTACATATAGGGGAATTACAACAAGGAACATAAAAAAATTATAATCTCCCTTCCAGAAAAAAACATTTACATGATTCCAATGATTCCCAACATCTTTATAAGAATGGTTCCTTATGACAGATGGAGGGGGGGAATAAATATTTTCCTAAATAATTAGATTATATGCTTGTTCTTTTTATTTATTAAATTTGCTTGTAATTGATGCTAACAGAAGAAAAATAACTTGAAGATAGACTTGCTAAATTTTACATGAATATATATATATATATATATATATTTGATAGGATTGAGAGATTATGAAAACACTGAAGACTTGATATTACTTTTTAAACTGTTTCATTTTAGACAATCCTCTTTCCTCACTTTGAATAAAGAGCACTCAGTACTTTCACATTTTCTCCTTCTATCCTTCCCTCCCTTCTGCCTTTCTTTCCCCTCTTTCTCCTAATTGTTATTCTTACAATGATAAGAATTTTAACATGTAAATCTCTATATCATAGTCCCTGTTATTATTTGTAATTCACCCTATAGATAAATATACTGCAGAGCAACTACTCTGTAATATCCCTTTTGAAACTTACCACTCCTTGTAAATTATACATGCATATGGGTGATTACTTATGAGTGGATTTCTTCTCCCCAAAGACTGACAGCTCCCTGAAGGCAGGAACTGTTTCCCTGTTTACCACTGTGACACTATACCTCAAAGAATGCCTGGTGCAGGATATTCCACCAAAATTTGTTGGCTTAACAGACAAAGATGTAAGAGTCCCATGGAATATATACAGAGGAATAATAAGAATGGGATTCAGAAGAAAATGTGGTGTTCAGGAAAAGTGTTACAAAAGATAATGCTTTTGAGAAACATGGATTTTGACAGAAGAGTGTCTTGGTTCCATATGTATGTCTCCTCTGGGGGCAGGATGTAGTGGGGACCAGCAGGAGATGGGCCCAGTGAGATGTGTTCTTGATACAATTCTATTCATTATATGTGTTTCATACTCAGAAAATCATTTGGATGAATACCTAAGTGTTAACTGTCATTACAGGCAGGCAAATTGATTCCAAGTCATTTTTTTTGTTGTTTTTACATTTCTCCAAAACCTGTCTTTTCAATAATAAGCACATATCACTTTAATAATCAGATAGGAATAATATTATCATTTTCATTTTTTAAAAATTTGCATCCATAACAGTTAACTTATGGAGGGCGTACTATATTCTAGAAAAATTCTCTAAATAGTTCTATGGATTACATATTTGACAAAAAAAAAGCCTATGAGATAAGTTTTATTGTTTTCTTCATTTATGAATGAGAAACATAAAAACATAGAGAAATTAAATGGTTTGGACACGATTACACAGATAGTAAGATTCGAAGGACTAGGATTTGAAACCAAGCTGTCTAGCTTCAGAATTTATGACACTTATACAGCTACTTCTCACATGAGAGCAAAACAGGGATAACCAGAGCTCTTTACAGCTCTCCATTAGAAGAAATCCAGGCAGCAGTAATGACACATAGACTGCCCCCACCTTTCAATCTTCTTATTTTCCATTCTTCTTCTTATAAGAATTGATATTATCCAACAAAGACCACTGAACTTGTTCATTAGCCTGTCACTATCAGCATTAGAGCTGCCTGGATGACTGGGAATATATCATTTAAAAACAGTTAGGATGTAATCTCCTAAGTAAACTATATGTATATTATTTCTCCATCTTCTTAGATTAAATCAATGGATAATTCATCACCTTGCCTTAAAGGGCCACTTCAAAACCCTTCACTTATATTGGCATTTCTGTTCCCAATATAAATGTCATGCCTCATCAGGGTTGGGTAATGAAATGTGATGTCCTCTATTTGCTTGTGTTTTCAAGGGCATTTGGTGAGGCTGCAGTTCTATACAACTTATCCATCATCTCACACTGCCTTGACTGCAAAAGGAACAGAAACTGCAGGTAATCCTTCGCCCTAGGCAAAGCCTCTGCTCTAATGTAGGACAGAAAACCAAATACAGTAGTGAATCATTTCTAACAAACCTTGAATACACATATTGCATTGTGACTTCAGGGTCTTCTGAATTTCTTTTTTTTGGTCAATTCACAAGGGTTGAAAATGCATGTGTCTGATATAAGTTTCTTTGTGCCAAGAAGCTTTTTATTCTATTTTTAAGAAATTGGGTACGTGAGATTTAATCCATGTCTAATCCAGATTCTCTAATAGCTAGGCTTTTGCAAATAGAGCATGTGTATGTATGTATGTGTGTGTGTGTGTGTGTGTGTTTGTGTGTGTGTATGTGTGTGTATGTCTGTTTTCTTTTTTAAGTACGATATTTTTGTTTTACATGAACATTTCATATTGTATCTTATGGTTTTTAATAATGTAAAAAAGGCTATATGACCTCAAACTTGTTAGAAGTTTTAAAATAAGCATATTTCATAACACACTATAAATTCTTGTTTGATAGTTCCATTTAGTTTATTTTGGGATCACCTCTTGATAACATAGGAGAGTTTCTACAGCCAATTCCGTTTGTTACAACGATGTAGATGGTTGACTTAGTAAGAGAAGTAAAATATTCAATTAGGGGTCTAAAATCATTTAACTCAACTCATCATGTAATTATGAACTCTTTGTTCATTTTGTAGTGTTTGACTCCTTGCTGAAGAAAACAAACTCACCCCAGGAAAATGATCAAAAAAAGCTAAAGTGAAACAATGATTATTCTCTTTTATGCTTTTGTTGATGAGTCACCTCATTTGTAACCATTACCCCAGCTTAGTCTATATTATTTAAATCCCTTCTTTTGCCTAATCTCATTTGCTTCCATCCATACTGATTTGCATTGTTTTCTCTTGAGACACTTCGCAAAGGAAAATGGTTGTGCTTTGATCTACTCGTGTTCTTTCTATAATCTAGCAGAGACCTTAACACTCAGTACAGCACTTTACTGTCACACAATTATGCCATCATCTATTACCATCGATATTTTTTTTCCAGAGAAACTGTTCTGCATCTCTGAAATTTCTGGTGCTTCTTCAATGATCATGAGCAATAAAACAATAAACTGAAAGAGGAAATAGAAAATTCAAACACAAATTCAATAAAAAGATCGCATTTTCCTCCCTCTCCACACAGCTACATTCCCTCCTCTGACATCTGATGTATTCACTCATATAAGTCTGCATTTTACTTTTGTATTTTCCTGAGGTCTCATAAATATGGGGGTGGGGGGAAGCTGAGTTGTCCTGTTTTCTCCACTAACCCCAAAGTATTTTGTACTCTCTCCTGAGAAATAACATGTGATCCTCAAAGTGCACTGATGTGGCAAGCTAGGGAAATAGCACAGGAGACTGGCCTGGCTTAGCACACAGGTCACTGTACCTTTGTGAACAAAGAATAGGACTGAAGGAGATGGCAGGAAGTTCAGTCCCCACCCCACCCCCCAGGTAAGAAGATATACTAGTCTCCCTTTAATTTCCACAAGTTGTTCTGTGTCTTATAATAACAAATGAACTGCTATTATTTGTATATTTGCACAAATATAAGACTATGCCTTGGATTTAGAAATTCTAATTGAGAGAAGAAAGAACACAGGTTATGGTTTAGAAGTGAGGTGCCCCTCAAAAGTTCATGTGTGAGAATGCAAGAAAGTCTAGAGGGAAAATGATTGGGTTATGAGAGTCTTAACCTAATCAGTACATTAATCCACTGATAGGGGCTAACTTGGATGGTAACCATAGGCAGGTAGGGTGTGTCTGGAGGAGGTGGGTCATTGGGGGCATGGCTTTTTGAGGTAAATGTATTGTTGCTGGTTTGTAGAGCCAACCTGGTTCCAGGTCTTAAACTACTTTCCTCTACCTCACTTTTCTGCCATGATTTTTCTCTTGGCCCCAGAGCAACAAAGTCAGCCATTCATGGACTGAGACCTCTGAAACTGTGAGCACCAAAATAAACTTTTCCTCCTCCAATTGTTCTTTTTCATTATCTTTGGTCACAGCAGAAAAAAAAAATGACTAAAATATATATTAGAATATCATTGTATATTTCTCTTTTATTTTTAATTGTAGCAAGAACACTAAACATAAGATCTGCCCTCTTATCAAATGTTTAAGTGCGCAATACCTGTTGCTGATTATAGGTGCACTCGAAAGGATCTTTAGAGCCTTTCATCCTGCCTAATCTGTAACTCCCCACTTCTCCCTCCCTCCAGCTCTGGTAACCACAATTCTACTCTTTCATTCTATGAATTTGACTATTTTGGACAATTAAATGGAATCATGCAATATTTATCTTTCTGTGTTTTTATTTACTCAACTTAGTTTAACACCCTCAAGGTTCATCCATTTTGGCAAATATGGCAGAATTTTCTGTTGAAGGTTGAATATTATCCCATTGTGTGTGTGTGTGTGTGTGTGTGTGTGTGTGTGTGTGGTGTGTGTGTGTGTGTCCATCCCACATTTTCTCATCTTCTTCATCTGTCAATGGGCACAAAGTTTGCTTTTTGTTTGTTTCTGTGGGATTGAATTTTGCTGTCTTTCCTAGGCTGGTCTTTAACTCTTGGGCTCAAGCTACACTCCTGTCTCAGCCTCCCAATGAGCCTGGATTGCAGGCATGCACCAGCAGGCTCAGCTTTACACAAAAGTTGTTTCTACATCTATGTCATGTATTGCCCTCATGAATTTAATGAGCATCTTTATGAAAATTGTTTTTAATTTTTGTCACATAAATCATATAACTCCACTTCATTAGGGTCAGTTAATGGAGATTTATCTTGCCCCTTTGTTTGGAACATCTTTGCCTGGTTCTTCATTTTCCTGGACTTTGCACTTGTATATATGCATTAGACAATGCAGGCACTCCACCTATCCTCAGTTTTTGTGAACAGCCCCTGCATGGTAGAGGACCACCACTAGACAACCCAAGTGGAGCGTTTGGGGGCCTCCACCCATGCTTTCCCTCCCCAGGGAGGAACAGGCAGCTGTGGGTTTTTTCACCTCACTCTGTGCTGAGTCAGGAGGCAGAGCCATGGCAAACCACTGTCTACATTCTGCCCATGCAATTAGACTATGCACACCATTCAGGACCCTAGGATTAGTAAAAACAGATGCTAGTTGTCTGGAAAGCCCTGGAGAAGTTGGGGCAGTGGACTCATAGATGAACTCTGCCTCTCCCTGGGGTGAAACTGAGAGCTGAGATTTTTCATCTATTCCCTCTGGAATGAATCACATTGAAGTCCTAATTAGAATAAGATATATTCCATGCTTATATAATTATATCAAAATATAATCTACTGTCATGCATAACTAAAAAGAACTAATAAAAATTTTTAATGTGAAAATGAAAAATAATCTAAAAATAAATAAAAAATAAGTGTAGTCACATTGGGTTTAGGGCTTCAACATATGAATGTGTGGGAGGGCACACAATCCTGTCCATGACACTCAAAATTCTCTTGTCTAGATTATTTCCCTTCCCTTAACACTATTGTTAAAAGAAAAACACCTAGACCAGTTAAAATAACACTATCAACTGGAAATCCGTGCTATAAAACTCCTTTTCAGCTTACCTGCCAAAGTGGAAGTGAACATGCACATCAATACAGGCAAATAGGAAACTGAGAGGTTTTGCCACAGCAAATAGCCAAGTTCCAAATCCATTTTGAGTACAGGTAGGACAATAGTCATAGAATTCATAACTTCTCTGTAGCATAAAAACTTAATCTTCTTTCTTGAATTCTTCCATTCCCTTAACTTCAGGAATTTCACCTCAACCAAATCTGTGACATGGCTGTGTAATGCCCATGTGGTAAGCTCCTATCATTAGAATTAAGCCCATTGAGTGATCAAGAGGTTGAAGAAAGCACACAGGTTTGGGGACCAATGTTCTGATTCTTACTGTTAACTAAATGATTTACTCCCCTGTCAGAATTTGGCAAGTTATTTCACCTCTCCAACAGGAAGTTTCCTTCTTTGGTACAAATAGAACCAATAAAGACTCATAGACTTTTGAAAAGTAGAGATAATCAAGTAATTGCATATAAGATTGTGCCTGGAAAAAAAGATTAATGACTTGATACATGATGTGAACTAGAAAAAGATGAAGATAAAAAAGAAGAAAGTGAAGAGGAGGAAGAAGTCTATTTAATTTAAAGGGTACCCATAAGCAATCAAAACTATCTTTTTATTCACTGTAAGAAACTATAGCACTTTGGGGAAGAAAAAGCTGGGGAATCTATACTACTTGATGGAATATATAGTAAAATGCCTAAATTCTCAAAATGTTGGGAATGTAGGGTATATCAGAACAGAGTGGGAATAAAGCGTAGTCAACGGAGTAGGAAAAACTGGATCCTCCTTCCCATCACAGGCACACCAGCTCAGCAGCAATCCATAGATTGATTTCTTTTGTGAGAAATCAGACACTAAGAAAAAGGCTCCTGTACCCAAAAAGACCATGAAACTAGACTTAGCAAAATTAATAGGGAGATTCAGGACACCTTTTGCCCAGAGACCCTGCCCTGGCACTGTGCCTGATGACCAGAAAGATTTCCCCTAAACTCACGTTCACCCAGAGGAGGGAAGGAGTTGGTTTATTACCCAGAGACTTAATTTCCTAAAGGGGAGTCCCAAAACTATAAGGTTTTTTCACTTCAGGGTGGAGTCCTATTCCAATAGGGAATGTGTTATTATGAGAAGAGGAAGAGATACCAGAGCTCTTGCTGGCTCCTCTGTATGAGAATAAAGTTAAAATGGGGCCATCTGTAAGCTGGAAGAGAGCCCTCACCAGGACCCAAATACGCTGGCACCAGATTCTCACATTGCCAGCCTCCAGAGCTGTGAGCAAATTCATTTCTGTAGTTGAAGCCAGCCAGTCTATATTTTATTATGTTACCTCCCAAAACCAGTACAGTGAGGGTGTGGGGGAACATTAGTGTCTGCCACCTTCCTTTCCTCCTCCCCTCCCTCTGATGAGAATTTGGTGTTCAGCCCAAATGGAGAGAGGGCTTAGAGTCAGATGACAAAGCATCTATGTCTAAAAACAAAAATAAACAACAAACTCCCTCTAAGTTATGCATTATGGTCCACATAACAAAATACAGCATGCAGCTGGGGAGAAGCTCAATTCCTCCACCATCTCATATGTGTCAGTATCTGAGACCACAGATGCATCACTGTGGTCACAGTGATCAAACACACTTGAGAGTAGCTGCCCTTGCATGACAGCCTTCCTCTGCAGGGCGGCAAATAGACTGATTGAGATGAAGGATAACAAGGAACATAATTGTCTTCAGCACATTTAAAACATCTGGGGCTTTCAGAAATACTGAAAGGAGATTTTGGTGGAAAGGGGAAGCAGGGAGGATGGGAAGAGACCCAGGTACTGTAGCCATGCAGATAGATGTGAAGGTAAAACATACTGCAACTAGGACAATGTCATTAATGTAATCTCATTTGTATTCACAGGCTTTGTGAGGACTAGTAACATTCATATCCATAAAGTGAAACATTCCAATCTATGCTGATGCTTGCTTTTTATCACATGGTTATAATAAAGTCATCCTTGAAATATAGTATTGGCATAACTCATTATGCCAATGTTGACATAATGGGATTCTTTTCTTTTTGTTCATTATTTTTACAGGGAAATTATTTTCTTATCCACATCAGATATTCTTACCTAGTATTTTAAGAAAAAACTCTGATGCACTACTAAATATGAATGTGTGTGTGTGTATGCATACATTCTCATTTTCATTTACATATAAATGTTTTAGTTTATTCAGATATTTCTCTGCTTTTAGAAATACATGTCTTAATGCAAAGTGATCTTCCCAGGAACAAAAATTTCCAGAAAAACATACTAAAGGATATAATGCTTATAAGACAGGTATCTTTGAGAAAAGGCACCAAGTAATCTGACAAATTACTCTCAGGTATTCTACTTAAGAAACACTGAAAGAGGGTAGCATCGAATTCCTCAACATAGCTGAAGTCAGATTTTAAGCAGTTGATTGAGTCTTTCACGTTATTTCAGATGCATATCTATGCTTTAGATAAAATGCATTCATCACTAGTGAACATGTCAAAAAAGAGATCATAGTAAGACAAGATAATGGTCCCAGTAGCCTTTGATTTAGCTGCACTGACAGGGCCCAAGGCAGAAGAGAATTTCTACTTCCAGAATGGATATGGTTATAGCAAATTGGTGGTGGTGGTTAGGAGACTGTGACATTCTGGGAAAAACAGTGCAATCAAAAAACAAGTTACTTCTAACAAAAAGTGGGTGGTGAGATTTATAAACGTGCCACTCCCACTCAACCAACTGCCTCTAGTCTATTCCCACATAGTCCATATCTTTGAGGGTTTCCTTTCCCTTGCTTGGTGGCATGTACTTTCAGGGCACTCTGGACTTTCATCTGGTCTCAGACTCAGATTCTCATCCATTGCAGTACCACATGGAATGGACAGAGTGATGTTAGAAGTCTCTTCTTCAGCCAGGCGCGGTGACACATGCCTGTAATCCCGGCTGAGGCAGGAGGATCACGAGTTCAAAGCCAGCCTCAGCAAAAGTAAGGCACTAAGCAACTCAGGGAGACCCTGTCTCTAAATAAAAGACAAAATAGGACTGGGGATGTGACTCCGTGGTTGAGTGCCCCTTAGTTCAATCTCTGGGACCTATCAAAAAAAAAAAAAAAAAGTCCCTTCTTCAAATAAAGGGATCCAATGCTGGAGGCTGCAGACTTGTTGCTGTTTGGAAGCAGAGAAGTGGGGGAAAAGGTGCTGTTCTGTGTGCAGGACCTTCCTTGATTTTCTAAGACCTTCCTCTTGAGCTTGTGCAGCATTATAAAACAGGTGCATCTTAGAGGGTGACACTAAGTTCTCTGATCCCAGTCGCAGCCACCCTGTCCTGTTAGCACTAACTTGATTCCTCTAGGCAGGAATCTCCAGTGTTGCATTACAGGGTCGCTGCTTGCTGAGGCCAGGTTCAATCTTTTTCAGCTGGATGTGTTATGGGAACATGGATGGTTCATTGGCAGGAAAAGAAAAAAGAGGCCACATGCTCTCTGGCTGCTCAGTACTAAGCACTGTGCTATGAACTCTTGTTTTCTATTCATATTTTTTTCAATTAACCTCTCCCTTTCAATTCTTTTGCTATTTGTTTTTCAAAAGTTTTAATTTATTATTTTACATTCATTAGTTCAAAATTTGTTTCCTTAGTTCTTATTTTTATTTGCTTCCCACGTCTATTTTTATGATGTGATCTA